AATGAGATCAGGATTCTGAGAGCAAGAGGGAAAAAAGCAGTGAATAACTGCTATTTAATTGTCCATTTCAAGAAGGCCATGCCAGGAATTTAGCTCAGTGGTTCCAGTGCCTGCCTTCCAAGCACAAGGACCTGAGTTCGATCCCTGACGCAAAAAAAAAAAAAAAATCAAGAAGGCCAGAGGTATTTTTAGCAACATAGTGACTTTCAAAATATTATTTTTAGGCCTAAATACTTAAATCAACTGAGATGACATAACAGACCCAGAATTGAAATAGTTAAAAAAGTGAACATATATCTTATGTTTGGTTATATGTTTTTACGTACCACTTAATAAGTCTGGTTTTATCTCTAATAGATAATTGTTAATCCAAATTCCTCTTTTCAAATTACATTTTAGTAAATCTCTAGGGTAGTTTGTTTACCAAGGTTACAATCTAAGTGCTTGGAATAAGTGGAAAGCTAACCACTCCAGAGTTTATCACAATGGGTACAAATAGAAAGAACTTTGGAATAAACTCTGGTTTATCGATAATTTGAAATATTATATGACAATTAAAATAGGTAAAATAGATTTGCATACATTAAAATGGTTAAAAACAAAAAATTGTTCTGTGAAAAATTTCAAGCTTCAAATATGATATAATTAATGTTAAAAAAACAATACTGAAAATCCATGAGAATGACACATGTGAATTTTAAGATTTTGATTCAGTTGGGTGTGTGTGTGTGTGTGTGTGTGTGCGTGCAGATTTTATCTTTCAATACTTGCCCTAGTTCTTTAACACTAAAAGCGATCCAAATGTGGCAAATGTTAACATCTGTTAAATCTGGCAGTAGGCCCTGGTAGTTTGATATATGATTGTCTATACTTTTCTCCACATTTAAAAAAATTCACATTTTAAAAATGGGTTCACAATTTCATAATTATAGAATGACAAACATCTATTAGCCCTATTTATTAGCCTAAAATCATATCAATATTCAAATTTTTAATTTTAAAATAACATGGAGAATCCTTCTATTTTCTGGTGATTCAAAGTGGTGTAGATAAAGACCATCCTAGAAAGACCATTTAAAGACAAAAAAGTAGTACTTCTCATAAATTGGATTTTCCAGACAGTGCTGTGCTTACCAAAAGCTGCAAGTTTTAAGAATAAGTAAGAGTATTTGAAGCATTTTTATCCTGCAAGGTTGGATTGTTTTTGAAAGTGGTCCTACTTAAAATTTAATGTTAGATATATGGATTTTTATAAAGGTCTTCAGATTTGAAAAATATATTTTAACTGTCAATATACCGGAATAGTTACCACCATTTACATCTAGTTCTAATGAATCTTAAATAATCTATCTTAAGCCATTTTATGAATAATTTATAGATATAAGCATCCAACTTTTAAAGTATTAGAAATTTTAGTAAGAATTTAAAAATAGTGAAAACAATTTTTATTTCATATTTTCTTGTTTTGAAAGTATGTTTACTCACAATGGGGAATATTGTAAATAGTGATTTCTATAAGGTTGTAGTTTATCATATCTTCTTGTTCTTCTTATATTCATATCACCAAAATGTAATACTTTAAAAAACTCTCATGGGAAGGTTTTGTTGAAGGATGGTAATTTTTGCAATACATTTTGATTTTTAGATTTATCAGCACCAATTTCTGAGTATGACAAAACTTAGCTAGAATATGCACTTAAGACTCATGGTCTGAGTTTTGCTTACAAGATCAATTCCCAGGTTTCATCATTATTAGGATCTAGAGTACTGCACTTTGTCTCTCTGCATTCACATTTAGATTTAATAATTATAGAAGTTCTTGTCTTTTTTCTATACTTTCCATTAAAAGCAAAAGCCAAAAAATTCTTAACTCTCAACAATATTCCTTGAAAGCTAAAGGGGAAAAAAGACTCTAAATGATAGTTTGTCCAAAACATTGACACTTTTTTTTTTTTTTTTTTTTTTTTTTTTTTTTTTGCATAGCTGGTAATACTTTCTTAGTAATGATAAATTAATTCCTGGGATAATTACAAGGTGTTTCAAAAAATATAAATCACTAAAATTTTATAACATAAGAATTAGCTAAGAGTCCAAGGAACCCACTGAAAATGGAAAGAGTTTTGTTTTGGTTTTTTTTTTTAAAGTACATTTTCAGGCTGGGGAGGTAGCTCAGTGGTAGAGCACTTGCCTAGTGGGCATAAGGCCTTAGATCCAATCTCACTGGAAAAAAATTTTTTTTCTCTTTGTTCTTTGAAAGATATCTAAGACTAAAAAGTTATAAAATATTAGAGCTGCTCAAATAGAAACCCCTAAAATAAAATCATTTCCAATGGATCTGGATGCCATCCCCAGGATCATAAAACATTTTTGGTTAATGTCATTGAAAAAAATTTTAGGGAATTGAAAATTTTGTGAAGGTCAACTGTGTGTGTATCAATCTAAATCACAGAGGTAGGGTTCCCAGCCTATGTTCTTTATTGGAAGTGCCCTTTACTCCATAAAGGAATGGGCACATGAGGCATTTCTGTTCTTGAAGACCTTACCAGTGAAGCCAGAGGAAACTAATTGTTATAGGGTAGACAGTTGGCCCACTTGAGAATATGAATTTTTCCAGTTTTTAAATCATAAGAAAAACAATGTACATTATAGCCAAAGACATACAACAGCAAAAAAAAAAAAAAAAAAAAAAAAAAAAATAAAAAAAAAAAAAAAAAAAAAAAAAAAAAAAAAAAAAAAAAAAAAAAAAAAAAAAAAAAAATGGAGCCCCAAGCCTTGAGGCCTTAATTGCACAGAAGCTGGAAAGACATTTCATTAAGAGATTTTCTGCTGAGACTGCATGAAGTCCAGGTTGAGATATTTGTGTGTGAAAAACCTCAGTTACCTAGTGACTGAGTATTCAGCAATAGCCACAATACATTGGGAAGCCCCTTTTCCACAGGATAAAATGTTGATGCCCAACCCCTTGTGAAACATTGGAATGTAACCTGTGGAGATGAGGAGTTTGCAGACTGTCTAGGGAAAAGGTGCTTCTCATCCCTACAATTTAGCCTCTCTTCATCACTTGTCCTTATTTTCTCTTGAGGACAAGGCCATTAGGAAGAGACAAAAGGGATAAGAGCTGAATAACAAAAATCCTAAAGGAATAGTCATTAGGAAGCCTGGTAATTAAAGGAGCAAATTTATCCCACAAAAATGCCTGTCATTATCTTTCAATCAGTCATGCACTTGAGAAAGACAATGACTGAAAGCCCACTAAAGTTCTGGGGTAGTTATCACCGAGGTTATCACCTTACTCTTGACCAAGTACCTGTGCCAACACACAACATAGTATCGAGTCCTGGCCTCTTCTGCAGGCGCCAGACTCAAGTGGTAAAACGATGCGAGCACTAGACAATTCTTAATGGAGAGGACCCCTTCCCACTGTGCTCCTTAGACGAGCAGGCCTGAAACAATGGAAAAGGAAACCTAATGGGCAGATGCTAGGACTCTCAGACATGACGGAGGAATTTTTGCTATTGCCATAGGAGACAAGTAACTGACTCATGGCATTTAGTGGTCTGGACCAGTGATCTGCACATGAACCTGTTTTCTAGGTTTCTTTGTTACCTGCAAATCAACCTCCTTTTCTAATTGATAATTTTTAATGCTGTCTTTCCTACTGTCTTGATGGTAACGTTGGTAGCAAAATGTGTCAGTAAACTTGGAAGACGTCATTCTGATAGGATGGTGATCAAATGGCACATGGAAACTGGAGAGCTGGCATTTGTAGCTGCACCTATGTCAGTTCATATTAGGCAATATTCTGAAGGATGAGTTTATTCTACAGAGGTAAAATAGAGTCAAATCAACCTCGCTTATATATTCTTCCTGGGAATGATTTTAAAACTCCTATTCATTTACCTGGTGACAATGTTATCACAGTTGTACTCCAAGGTTTGTGTACAGTGCATGTTCCTATAAATACATCCTACCCCAGCATCCTACCCACTAGTTGAGATGCCTCACCAGACTCAGATTTAATTTCTGAAGAATTTGAAGGAAGAGATACAAAGATGGAGGGAAGCAATGATTATTGTGGTTATGAGATTCTACAGTTGGGTTAGGGGTCTGCACCAAAGCTGATCAAAGGCAGATTGGGGGCGATGGAAAATGGGAGTAACACATTACCCTATGTGGGGAAGTGGAAATGGAGAGAAATAATTTAAAAATACAGAGTAAGCATAGATGACTACCAATAACAGAAAAAGAACAAGGAAGAAGGAGAAATGCACAGAGGGGAAAGGAGAACATACAGGGTGAACAGGTGACAGAGAGAATCAGACAATCAGAGCCAGGGGGCAATCAGAGATATACAACGGGTCACTAATGGTGATGTTCTAGCTTCTACAATGTTTCGCTATACTTTCTTCAGTTAAGTTCCAGATTCTCATTCTTTTGTTTGTTTGTTTTAATTTGGTTTTTTGAGACAAGGTGTCACTATGTAGTTGAGAATGAGCTGGAACTCACTATGTAGCCCAGGCTGGTCTCAAACTCACAGCGATCCTCCTGCCTCAGCCTCCTGAGTGCTGGGATTACAGGCGTGCGCCACCACGGCCGGCTATAACTTTTTTAAAATTTTTTTAAAATAATTCCCAGATTACAAGCAATTTTAGGTACTTTTCTGATTCTCACAATCAAACTATTCTTGACCTGGCTGCTCCATGAACCTATGGACATAACTTTATTGAATCTTTTAAATGTTTAATTTCCAACTATGACAATATAATTATTTGTAACGTCTTTACTACTGTCCAAAGACAGACCAGGTTTCATTCACTAACAATGGCTAACATTTACTGAGCAATTCTTTTGGGACAGTTTCAAAACCATCTCACCAATTCTTTAAAACCAATGAAGCAGGTTCTATTATTATCATTACCCTTTTACCTTTGGGAAATTAGAGCACAGAATGAGATGAAGTAATTTGTTCAAGATCACATTCAATAAAGGAATAAGGCTAGGTTTATTATTTATTTACATTAACACTGACATCTGAAAAACAAGTTTATATACACATTAAAAATTCATTTCAGTCAATAAATTTTTGTTGAATGCCCAGTAAGTGCAAAGTACTAATTTAAACAAACTGCTTAGTCAGCTTTATAAAGTCCTTGTATGTATTGGTATCACAATAATCTTTTTGTGGCCCACCAAAAAAAAGTACATTTAAATTAAGTTTTTTAATTCCAAAATGTCTCCTTTAAAACAGAATAGTTTCCAATAATGCTATTTTCAATACAGTCTTATTTCAAAACTCACTGGTATACTTGAAGAGTACTTGCTGCAAGCTAGACTCAGGTGAAAATAAACCTTGACTTCTCAGAAAACATCGATAAATACATATCCATTTAATTAATTACAGAGTAAGTCACACATGTACATAAAAAAGTAAAATGACGAGGAGAGGAGTTTTTCATGGACGGTGGTGAGTTGCCATGGATTCTGCTTCTCTTGATTTTCTGAGCAGGGCTTGTTTGAGGGCACTAATTTTCTCATCAAGTTCAGCCAGGGAATAGTTCTGCTATAAACAATAAGGCAAATTGCTGAATAAGACTGAAGTATCTTAATACAGATAAAGTGCTAAAGGAACTATAAATATTTAAAATATCCAACAGCATGATGAAATGTTTTTTCTCATGATAATAATTTTAAAAACTGACCTATATACATAAATATATATATATATAGTGACTATAGCATAAATCAGAAGGTATAAAACAAGGCTTAAATATTTCTTTCTCTTGCCTAAGGAAATACTCTCCTGAATCTTTTGTATTTTGAAAGGCTAGAAAAACTTTAAAAAACATATAATCTTATGATCAATAGTAAAATAGTAAACTTTAGGATTAGTTTAAGCATAAAATACCTAGAAATTTAATTATGAGGGACCAACCACTTCAGGAAAAAAAAATGGCTGCTCTCAAAATATATACCCAGAATTGTACGATAAATAAATATTAAAAAATAAGCCAAGCATGTGCAGGGCCCTGGATCTGATTGTTAGCACTGCAAGAGGGGGAAAATACAACCAAAAAAGAAATAACAACAACAAAAAACCCCACAAAAATGTTTAAAATGTTTTCCCAAACTTTAAATTTACATTACCACCATTAAGGTAGAAAAACCTTACTATTTAAAATTCAACCAGCTGGGGATTTAGCTCAGTGGTATCACTACCTGCCTTGCAAGCACAAGGGCCAGAGTTTGATCCCCGGTACCAGAAATAAATAAACAAACAAATAAATAAATAAAGTTCAACCAATTAATATAGTAATATTTTCAATAGAGGTTGGCTGAAGTCACCCTCCAACAAATACTGTTTTCTTTGGATTCTGCTAATTGGTAACATTCACAAAGGGGGAATGGGAGGAGACTTTAGCACTTATTATTTTTAAGCACTTTGTAGCTGATATACTCTGCTTTTATAAGCAGGATAAAGATTTTTATATTTTTATAACCTAGTCATTAAGTGTCTTAGTCATTAAGTGTCCTTGAACTGCAATTATAGCTCCAATTTAACTATATTAGTTTATACTGTCCTTTTCTTCAGTCCTAAATCTTACCAAGGTATGTCCAAAAGGCAAGCACAGTAGGAACTTGTATTAATAAGATATAAATCTAATCAATCTATGGCAGAAGCCAAAATGAAGATGAAGTAACTTACTTGAGGTGGCTGAACTTTTCTTCTTTTTCCAGAAAAGTTCTAGTTTTAAAAGTTAAAAAAAAAGGTAAATAATAAATGTTTTAAAAATATAAGCATCATTTCTTTTATAGCATACTGAAAAACATAGCCTTTGGGAACTCTGACAGAAACAAAGTTGGCATACTTATCAAGTGTTTTGTGTAACTGATACCCACTATCAATTTAAAGTATGTAAGATGTGGTAACAGTGAATAACATGCTTTTCTCTAGCAGAACATACTTTCCCACTAATTACCAGCTCTCATGAGCCTTTGTTATTGCAGAAAGAGGTGTTCTCGGGATTTTTCTACTTGCTTCCTTTTTCACAACCTTTGTATACCAGGACATTAGACAAGTGAAGCAACAATAGAAGATAAAATTTGGTATATAGGCCAAAGGGAGCAGACCCCCAATCCCCTTACTTCACTGACTACAATGGGCACTGTGGCTGTCTATGCAAGCATCTCTTCATCCAGTGATTCTCTAAGTGACTATACGCACACCTCTCCTTTGTGTCAAAAGCTGATCCGAAGAGCACCTAGCTATGCCTCTTACATAATAACAGGAAATTATTAAGTGTCAGAATTATTAAATATGGAATAACAGAGCTCGGAAAAATATGCTCCTTCCTTAACCAAAACAAGCTAGATACCTGTGGTGTGGTCTGAGGAAAGTAAGAGCTTAATGTTTAATCTCTTCATTACTCAGCCTCCTACTTTCCCAAGGGGTAGCTTTTTACATTCTGGATGAGAATAAACTTCCTCTTGTGGTCATAAAAGTTTATTTAATCTGTACAATACTGATACTATCTATGTCATTAAGTAATCAGATTATTTCTGTATCATGATATTAAAATGAAAAATCGAATGAGGAGAATAAGGATATAAATGGATCAATGACCTAAAAACATAGGAAAACAAGTCTTTGGGGCTTATTTTAGGCCTGAGCAGAATATTTTCACATTTAGATGTAAGTATATCTCAGTGCAAAAGGTGGCAATTTTAACAATTTTGATACTCAAGAGAAAGTATCTGGGAGCACAGCATACTAAAGAAACTGTACAGAGATAATTCTTGTCTCTTCCCTCCCAAAATTCTACCATGACAGGTAATTTACAGCCACATCAACAATGCTATACAGCCTAATAAAAATATGTTATATACACATGTCCAGGGAATGCATGCTCTAAAGAAACTCGAGGGTAAAGAGGCCTCTTCTCAACCAGTGACCTTCTTTTCTTTTAATCAGTTGTAAAGGGTAACTGGTTCTAAACATACAGTATCTTAAATGTTTTTTCCCTCCTAGTGCTACTGTCTTTTTTTTTTTTCCTCTCATTGAGTTTATTGGTACTTTTTAGGTATACAGTAGTTACATTCATCATTGGGATCTTGTACCTTTACATGACAGGTCCTGGTTCTCATTTCTAGTGCTACTGTCTTGATTCAAACCTTCATTTCTCTTTAACTTGGATGACATGACATGCTTTCAAAACTAGTTTCCTTGATTCCACTTAGACTTCATAATACTACCAGATAGGAACCTAAATCACAGATTCCTCTTTCTTTCTCGAAAACTTAACTGAACTCTGACAATACTGGAAGGCCAAAGTGACTACTGTAACTTTCAAGGCCTACAAAAATGTGTACACAATCTAATTTTTCAGCTGGATGCAACTGTTCACTTATACTTCAGACTCATCATGAACTTTCATACGTACATGATCTGTGCCCATTATGTTGATCTGGGCTTTAGCACAATCCTCTCCCAGCATACCCTCCCCTACTTTGGAATCAGGACTTTCTTACATTACTGACTAAAAATTATGTCTGGTCACTGCTTTGTGGCAGTACATTCAAAAGTCTAGTAATTAACTATCAGCCATGTGCTATACATTCATTCATGTATTTACTCAATGATACTATGTTCCATGTGCTCAAAGATGAACAACACACAATTCCTGGCTTTGAAAGGTTTAAAATAGTATGAACAGACATGTAAACACATAAGTGTAAGTGATAAGTGCTATAAACTGAACAAAGTGCTGTGAAAATATACTTGTAAAGCATGTTCTACTTGCTGTTTTCAAGTATCATAATTTAAAATCAGTAAGTCAGTCTTTGGAAATCTCTTATGAATCATATCTTTCAAATAGTCTATTAACCCATGCTCTTAAAATTTGAAAATATTAGCACATTAAAATTTTTTCATGTTTTAACATGAAGGGTAAAGATCTTCAAAACAATTACGTTAAAAGATGCAACAAATATTGTTTTCGTATTTCCTATTTTATATGCATTGTAACTTATTTTAGAATTTTATGTATTTCATTAAATGAAAAGAACTTCATATTACCTGGTTTTATTTTATTTATAATTTTAGCTGTTAACGTTCACGTTTTCATCGTGTAAATACTGAATAGTTTCTCTGGTGTGAAAAACTATAATAGCACATACGATCCTAATGAGATAATTGACAGTGTGAAATAGGAAGAAAAGGGCTAAAGGTGTAGGGAAAGTGGGAAGGGCAGGGGAAAGGTAATAAGGGAAAAGAAAAAAATATGAGAAAATGAAAAAAATGGAGATAAAGTGTTTGTAGATGGGGAGGGGAGGAGTGGGTGAAGGGAGGGCAGGGACAAGGGGAAAAAATGAGAACTGAGACCTGTCATGTAAAGGTACAAGATCTTAATAATGAATGTAACTGTACTGTATCCCTAAAATGTACCAATAAACTCAATTTTAAAAAAATGTTCACCTTTTCATATGCTATGCTCCCATGTTACCCATGATTATCAATCTCCACAGCTGTGCGAGGTTTACCCATGTTTAGAAGTGATATACATGTGAATCTATATAAGCACATTTCAGTCAGAGTCTTTGGAGTTCAGAAGTTCAATTTTTATTAAAGGTTCAATCCTTAAGAAATTTAATGGGCTCAACCTCCCTTTAATTTCTAATTTTAGAAGCTATAGAACTGTAACACACACACTTTTGAGAGAGCAATATGTAAAATTCTGCAAGTACCACCCATGTAGTCTCAGTCTGGGAATGGTGAGGGTGAAGAGTCACATGCTCTACCCTCTGTAGGGCACTCAGTGTGCTCAACTCCTCCCAGTGCAAAAACCCTTGAGCTGGCTGCATTTCACCCGAGTGCAGCTCCTAGAGAAGACTCATTCATTGCATTACAAAAGAGTGAGTATGAAATCCTTTCCTTAGGGTTTATGCCAATCTCTTCACAGGCCTGGAGGACAGAGTCACTCTGAATGTTTAAACCTCTCTAGTTCTATACGTCCTTGTAGCTGTTATTTGAATATTTCTAACGCTAATTGAGAAACGATTCTTCTAATCAAAGATATATATTTTTAACAGATTTGGAAGTACTTTTGAAAAGCACTGGTTGCATCCCAGCTTGCCATCACTCATCTTTTTCTGAATGCCAAGCCCATCTAGCCAAACCTCAGTCTACATTTCAGTGCTCCCTGCTGTCATTAGGTAGTCACCAAGCTTCAGACTTCAGGCCTTTGACAGCAGCAGTGAGCTTACCTGTCCATATTTTAATTAATAACTCCACACAGAATCTCTGAGTTAAGTGTCATCAATTATGATTAGAGTCTGACTGGAGATATCTGGTATCACCACACTCTCTTGTAAGATCAGTTCTAGTAACAAAGACTATATACAAGATATGAAACTGAACTAGAAAAATAGCCTTCCTAGGGAACAATGAACAAAAGAGGCTTGATTGGGAAAAACTTATGGTATATTATGCAGGGAAAAAACTATAAAAACTTTAAAGCAGTTTTCTAGGAAGAAAGATTCAAAGAATAATCTTAAAAGTGGAAAGGCCTTTGTATTATGTAGTATAACAAAAATATTTTAAAAAATTTTTAGACATCTGAAAGCCACAGGAACTGACTGATGCGTATTTGTATAACTACTTCATAGGTGGTTTCTAAAATTTAAATAAATGTTAATATTTACTGAAGTTTTTTATATGTGCTAGGCAGTATTTGTGCCTAAGTGTTTGGTTGGTACCTTAATCCTTGCTTTCTTTAGCTTTTAGTAATTTTATAAATCTCATTTTACATTGAGAGCAGTAAATCTCTAAACCTCTTTCCCTGAATTTTGTCATTTAGGACTTGCTGTCCCCCTTTTTTTATGTGATCTGCCTTCTACTTCTGTAGATACTTCTCTTTCTGTAATTCACTCAAATATATTCAAAAGATTGCTATTGTACCTAAAATGAATTTTAAATATATTTCACCAGTGAGGTACATGATCCATGCTATTGTACCTATAATGATTTTAAACATATTTCACCAGTGATTTATGTGATCCATGGTAATATAAGCTATTTTACCTAAGTTTCAGTATAACCTTACTTTAAATTATTTTAGTTCTAATAAAGAACAGCTTTTCAAAAAATTTTCAGAGGTATAATCACCTCAGAAGACTGAGGAAAAACAATGAGCTCAGAATTGATGGAAAAATGCTGATGTGCCAAAGATACCTTTCAATCAATATGCTTTCTTAGAGTCCTCAGAAAAGAGAGGTAAGAATGAATGAATGAATGCCAGAACTGAGGATTACACACAGACAGACTAGTCTTTTTAAAAGTCTGATAGTTAAGAAAAAGGGTAGCAGCTTGAGGTTTGTGCTTGTTTAGTATGGACAAATGGTAACTGTCTACAAGCTGAGGGAATTCATCTCAGAGAAGAATTAGACACAGAGAATAACTGACAGAGCAAGGACCCACAGGGAGCATTTACAGGACAGCAAATTCAGAGTCACATCATTGACCATCACCCAGGCTGATTTCTTATGCCACGAAAATGGCCTAAAAGAGTTTGGAGAATGCATAATAGAAGTAACCTTTTTAAAAATTTCTAAAGTTTTGAAATATTCAAGTCAAAAATTTGAAAAAAGTAGATACCTCCCTAAGATTGTGTTCATTTAATTTTGAATTATGAAAAAGTGTTTTACACGTAGATCAACGAGTAAACTGTTATACAATGAAAAATCCTAAAATAATACTTTACTTATTTTTGAAAGATATTTGTACTTACCATAGATTGAAAATATTCAGGAGATATGCCTTCCAATTCAAGGATTTTATCTTCAAGTTTTTTAATTCTCTGATAAATGTCTCTTGGAACTGGACCACCTAAATATGTTTTAAAAAATGAAGCAGCACTACTGAATACTTATCATTTTACTCGTAAAATACCATGCAAACATATTTTGCAAAGAAAAGAGAAATATTTAAACTTAAGAAAATAAAGTAAAATAGAATGAAATCCTCAGCTCACATTTGCATATTATACACCATGGGACAAATTATATCATATCTCCTCTGTCCAAATTTTTATGTTTCCTCTATTGCTAGGAGTTTTATGTTAAATTCATTTACAAGACATTGCATAGTTTCTGTATAGAACAACCTATATTTCTGATAGGCTTTGAAAGTTTCTTGAGAGGGTATAAATGCAGGGATAAATGATAATTTAATTCATTGGTTGAAGTATGTCATAATATTTTCTTCAATTTATATTTTTCCCTATATGCCAAACTTTCTCCTCTGATCTAGAATATTAAAAAGAAGTGTCAACAATAATTATAAACAAATTTTGGGGCAGGGGGATGATAAATTAAGGTCACTGGAAGTTTCAGCTCATGATTATATCTAATTCTTATCATGCCCGCTGGAACTCTTCTGGTCTAGACTGCTACCTTCTCTTCCTGGATTATCACAGCCTCCCAACTGGTCTCCCTAATTCTGCCTTGCTTTTCAAGATTATATTCTCAATCCCTCAGCCAGTGATCCTTTTAAAATGTAAGTCAGATCGTGTCATGTCTCTGCTCAAACCTTCAAGTACCTTAACATTTCATTTAGACTAGAACCCAAAGTGTTTACAATGGTGTACAAGGCCTCACAATTGCCTACATAGCCCTACATTCCCCTTATACAACTATGGTTCCAGTTTCTTGATTCTTTTTTCTGTAATTTAAGTAGGCCAGACACCTTGACAGCTTTAGCAACACCTCCAAAATCCCTTCTTGCTAACCTCAGGTTTTAGCTCCAAAGTGAACATCAGTAAGTTTCTCTGATCATTATTTTAAAAACACCAGTATTGGAGGGGAGGAAGGGGTGAAGGGAGGGCAGCGACAAGGGGTAAAAATGAAAATCAAGACCTGTCATGTAGAGGTACAAGATCCCAACAATGAATGTAACTGTACTGTATCCCTAAAATGTACCAATAAACTCAATGGGGAAAAAAAACACCAGTACTACTACATCCTCTTAACCAGCACAACCTTATCCTTCTTTCCTTAATTTCCACCACACAATTATTACTACTTAACAACATTCTGTTTCTTTGTCTCCCACTCTGATGTAAGCTCCAAGAGGACAGAGTTTTGTGCTTTGTTTACAGCTTATGCACTGCACAAACCTAGAAAGTATTAATACAGAACAGGTGCTCAATACTTACTAAATGAATGAACACGATTAGACAATCATTATTCAATTAAAGAATACTGGCAAATTATGTCAAAGATACCAACTTGTTAGATACCAACTTGTTAGTCTAGAATTTTTTAGGGGGGCGGACTGTGTTTTTAATCTTAGGACCTTGGTTGTTTTTACTCTGGTTAATATAAAATGAGTAACTTTTTCTTTTGACTTTGCCCTTTACCTAAAACATCTCCTTATTCCTGTACCTTTCAAGAGCCAATTCAAGGTTTACTGGGTCATGAAAATTGTCTGAACCTCTTCACAGGGAGGCTCCTTGTGTTCTCTCCCCCAACTATAACCTTCTCCACTGCCCCCATAAATTCTACTTCATTATGTATAGTATTTCTTTTACTGAGATTATGAAACCCTTGAAACCAAGGTCTTTAACTACATTATCTCAGTATTCTTTGTTCTTAAAAATTGTGTTTGGCACACATAGTGAACATTCAACAGAAATTTTCCAAAAGAATTAACCTCTTGATATTGTTAGAGACTCCATCAGTCAATCCTTGTATACAATTGCATTTTAAATGCATCTTTTTCTGGAAGAGGGGATTTACTCTTAATGTTAATGTCTTATTACCCTTAAAGACTTAACTCATTTCCTTATCTTTTCCTATCTCCATCCAGCAAATAATACCCCAGCTAGACTGGGTTTGGAAATCTGTGACTCTGTCCTTCCTGGTGGACATCATTTCATTCCCTTTTTGGAATGGTTTGCTTCTGCTCTTTCTTCTTTGGGGGATGGTTTGCTCCCTTCAAGGGTTTAAATGTCACTTCATCAGGGATGCCAGTTTGAACTCCCCTGAAAGAGCTTAGCACTTAACTCTGTCCCATGGCACATGCACATATCTGAAAAGGTGAAATGAGCAACGGTTCAATTAGTAAACATTCAAGCATGTGCTTTGTGCTTGGTGTTACACTAGGTACAAATGGTGATGAACATGACATAGTTCCACTCTGAAGACCTTACTACCTAGCAGGACACATGAACATTAATTAAAGAAGCACAACTGCAATGACTGCTTTAAAGGAAGGCAGGAAGAACCAGGCTAGGAAGCTATATAAAAAGGGAGTCCACACTGGTCTGGAATCAGGAAGCAAAGTATAGGTACAAAGGACAAAGGATAGCAAAATGTGTAGGAGATGGAAAGCCCAGAGATATGACTGGAACCAATGTGTAAACTATTTCCTTTACAATTATTCTCGTCCAGCCCCAATCTCCTCTCCTTTCTCTTGATCAAGGTGCTTTTATCACTAGCCCTTCTCTTTTAGCATACTATATATTATTTATACCAGCTGCTTCCCCCGAGTAGGATTCCTGTTCAGATTGATGTAGCCTCAGCATCGAGACAGTGGCTTAAACAGGAGCTTAATGCTATTTGTTGAACGAATGGTTAAGTACTAAGTTTGGTGTGCACGTAAGGCCTACAAGCAAACCATTAAAGAATTTTTAGCTGAGTAGATACATCGCCATTTTTCCAGCTGTCACTTACTACTTTGGGCATCCTGAGCTCCCTGAAATTCAGAAACTTTATCTATACAATAATAACAGCACCAACAGCTCAAAAGTATAGTTAAGACCTATACTGACACATGCATACTTTCAGAGTGACTGGCAGTAATGTTTGATGAATGTTTGTTCACTTTCCCTATAGCATTTTTATATGATCATCTTCACTGAGAAGTCCCTGGGGACTTAAACCTCATTTATCAACACTTTGGACCTAGCACAATGGGTAACAACTGAGGTGTATTCATGTGAGTTCTGAAATCAGATTTAGGAAAACACATTAGTTTTCAGCTGTGACTTCAACAAACTAAGGCTATCAGGGTCTGTTTGGAACCTGTTCCAATCTACTACACTTCCTTAATTTTAGAGAGTAACAAGAGTGAAAAGGAGGAAGTGCATATGCAACAAAAACTATAAATTCCTTCAAAGCAGTTCGTACTTTATCCATTTTTGTAATAGCCAGAACTATACGTGACAGGCATTTAGTGAAACTTTGGTAACTACATGAATTTTCTCTAACCATTTGCAAAGGTACACCATGGGGCACCACCCAACACTTTGCTTACCTGACTGCAATCGCAAGTGAGCCTCAATATTTTGTAGTCGTTCTTCTACAGCCTGATTACCACAATCTCGAAGCATGCTGTTAGATTTATGACCCGACCCTTGAATTCCTTCAGTTCTAGTCTGTGGTCCATATGTATTCACAACTCTAGAAACTAAGTTAAGAAACTTAGAAGCCAAAGTAAAGTTACTTTTTAAAATAGATATTTTTGGGACAGGGATATAGCTCAGTAGTGCTGCTGCCTGCCTCACAAGCACAAGGACACAACTTTGATCCCCGGTACCAAAAAACAAAACAAACAAAAAAAAAACTCTTTCTCCCTAACAATACTTTATATTCTTTCTATAAAGATATCTAACCATAATCCAAGGATGAGAAAGACAATTATTTTTTGTTTTTGTTATGTCTTTTATCTGGATGTCCCCCAAAAGTCTCATGTAGTCATAGGCTGGGCTTTGCGGTGGAGGCTGGATCTAGAGTGTGATGCTGAGAGTAAGGATGTAATGCTAGGATTGATTCACAGTGTGATGCTAGGATTATGGGTGGCTCACCCTGGGTATGTATGCTACCCACCCTAAGAGGGTAGCCTAGATAAAATGTAAGGGACAGAAAGAGGCCTGCTATTATCACTTGTGATTTGCTACTTCTGCTGTCTTCTGCCTGCCATAAACTTGTTTCTCCTCTGTGATGCCCTTCTGCCATGCCATGCTGCCTTGGAGCCAGCCAATTATGAACTGAAACCTCTGCAAACTCTACAAACCTCTACAATAAACTTTTCCTCCTTTAACTTTGGGTGTTGGATGTTTTGTCTCAGCAACAAGAAAAAGTAACTAAACAAAACAAAATTTAGATGGGTAAGATATTTCCATTTCATCTTATTAATAATCTAGGATAAGTTTCTGTCAATGACAATGCTATGTAGTTACTTACCCTTTACATGACTTTTAAATCCAGGGTAAGGTGTAAAAACGGCATCAGTCCTTGCACAACTATTTTCTATGGATAATTCAGATAAATATGTTTTAATATAGTCTTAATTTCAAACACAAAAGATTTTGATAAACTTCCAGTAATTCATATTAACTCATTACTTATACATACATAATTTTAAATAACAGTAATAATTAAATTACCATCACATATAGGACAGAGTGACATTTATTCTCTAAAATGAATCAGAAAATATTATACCTAATGTTCAGATTTACGTATAGAAAGGCCATGAAGTATCATAACAATACAATTTTTAATAAAAACCAACTATTTGGGGGCCGGGGATTTAGCTCAGTGGTGCTGCCACCTGCCTCGCAGGCACAAGGTCCAGAGTTCAATCCCCAGTACCAAAAACAAAAAAAAAACCCCGAAAATTATTTGGGCCTTTGAGGAAGATATTTTATGTATTATAGGGTACCATATTTTAATTCTCCTTCATAGAAATAGAATTCATTTTTATTAAAATATTTTTTAAAATCTAGCATCTTTTATATTACTGGTCATATTAACAAACATCTCATAAAATGAATTATATATCTAAGCCTTTTAATTTCAGAACACTACATAAAAGATCTTGAAACCTCAAGTATAACACATACTTTCCCACTCTACCTAGTCCAATACACACTTAATACCTTCCCACCAGCCTGAACCACATGTAGTACATACATGACTGTCCCATCAGGCAGTCTATACTACTGTTGGTACAAACAGATCCAATCACTTTTATTGGTGTTTTTACTAACAAAATTAATAAACCACCTGATGGGACAGTTATGCACATACCACTGGTACATCAAGCTGCCCAGCAGCAAAACATATGAATTATAGCCTGTCATGAACATGTAAAACTTCCTAGTCGCAAAGTCTTCTACTTCTTCCTATTCTTCCACTTTCAAAAACTGAAATTTTAGGATAGGTTGTGAAAATTTGTTTCAGTTTTTTTTTAATGGTACCGGGGATTGAACTTGGGTCCTTGCACTTGCAAGGCAAGCAGTGGGACCACTGAGCTAAATCCCTGGCCCTGTTTCAATTTTTTTTCCAAGCTGAAAATACAATTTCTTCAAATGATATGTCAATAAATTATAAAGAGAAAACTGGGACGTTAACATAATATATAATACTATTAATATTTTTATGTATTATATTACATATTAATATTAACATGTGTAATATATGATGCTATATAATAAAAATGTATACTGATGTTTGAAATAACATAAGTAAAACCATGCACTGGTTGTAAATTTTTGCAAGCTTCCCTTAAATATTTTGTAAAAAATGGATGATAAATGAAATACAGAAAGAAAATTCTTTTTTCTTTTCCTCTGTAGATTTTTTTTTTAATCTTAATCATTTATTTAGGTCAAATTGAGAAGTCTTAAAAGGAACACATTAAAATGTATTTTTTCATTTTAAGTTTCATTAATAGTTCTGCTGATAAGTTAAATTTTGTGAGTAAAATTCCAAATCCACTTATCTTTTACATGAGACTAAAAAGTCATTTTCTTTTTTGGGGAGATAACTCAAAGTATGCTTAAGAAAAGGTGAAGTGGGTAAAGGAAAGGCAGGGGTATGGGGAAATAATGAGAACCAAGACCTGTCATGTAAAGATATAAGATCCCAATGATAAATATAACTGTATTATTTGCTTTAAATGTACCAATAAACTTAATGGGGAAAAATAAGTATGCTTAAGGGGCGATTACTTCTCCATTCTCTACCATTTCATGGAGCTAAGGGTTAAAAAAAGAAGCTATCAACCATTTCAGAGCTATGTTCCAAATATATAGATTAACTGACCCATCAGTGAGAAATTCAACACGGTGTGAGACAGTGAATGTATGAGTGCTAGTCACTCTCTACATCAATTCTTGCCAGCACTGTTTTGAGCCAGCAAGGGATTGAATAGGCCAAGGAATCCTGCTGAGCATTTCAATTCTTGTCAATTTCTATCCCTGGTGGTTTATAATAATAGAGTTAGCAGGGAGAACAGAGGAATAACATTAGTGACACATGTGCTTGCTCCCTCAACAAACCCTTTTACATGGGTTGCTTGCAGTTGGTGCTACCTGAGATTTTGCCTCTGTTGAACCTGTTCTGAAAAGTTAAAGAGGAAAGTATACCAAAGTTAGAAACAAATATAAATGTTAATAGTAGAAAAAGTTGAATGTAGGACTCCAACCTGAGCCTGTATTATTTCTTTAAGACAATCAGTGGATCTATATGATACGAGTCACTTTTAGGTTCATCTGACAATTCTTGTTCATAATAATTAGCTAAGAGATACTAGCGGCAACAAGAAAAATGTTCATTCTAATTATGAACTCTTCTTCATAATTTTTCCTAAGAACTACTTGCTCTGATTATTACTAGCATACTTGAACATTATCTATGGCAGTGTTATGAAATTCTGATATATTCTGCAGCATACCTGCAGATCTGTAAACATACTATAGCATCAAGTGAAGAGGGAAAGAAGAATCTGATGAAAACAGCAAATGTATGCACTATGAGAGAAAGGAAAAGAGCATAAGGCACCATGGTCTTCATGAGAGATGGGTTGTATAATGACATAAAACATTTCACACAACTCTGGAGTAGTGAGAAAACTGCTCCCTCTTGAGGAATACTATTAACTCTACCAAGTTCATTTTCTGTCTTAACATAATTTCACAAGTGTATTTACAAGCTTGAAATTCATCCTGCTTTCTTCCTTCATAATAGCAACTGAACAACTGCCACCCAACACAACTCACTTTCACCTCCTAGAGAAACTTTAAAATAACCTTTTTAAAATCTGTAGTAAAACATCAGTCTTTTAATAATGCCATTTGATTTTTATGTAACCAAAGTGAAAATCTGTTTTGCAACAGTCTATTGCTAAACAGAAGGAAATTCTGTCTTTGTTAATAAAAACCTACAAAATAAACTGAACTGTGTTCTTAATGTTACTCTTTAAAAAAGAAAAGTACAATTATTAAACTGTGCTTAAAATTCTATGAAAATTAACTTCTAGTTACCTTGATTACAATCAATAACATTGCAAAACTCCCTGACGTTGTTTTCATTGATTTCAGCTTGCTTTCTTTCAATAAATGCAGATATTCTTCTGTCAATCTACAAACAAGTATATTTAACAATGTAAACACAATAAGACTTTTAAAAGTAATGTTGTTTCCCTCTTGCCCCCCAAAACTTACTTCTGCTTTTCCAGCCTTTATTTGAACTACTTCTGGATCAAAATGGACTTGTATCTTTTTCACATCTCCTAAATCACAGTCTTTGTGCTTCTCTTCCTGTTGGTCACCAGTGGGAAATTTGGCATTTAGTTCATTCTTGTTCCTTGTTTCTGTTTTTCCTATCTCTTCAATAGCAGCTGAATTCTCCTCTTTAATCACAGGCTGAAGTTTTGCTAAAAAAGGCTGAGAAGAAGACAATTCCGTCTGCTGGTGTTCAAACTAACCAAAATTATACAAAAATTATACATTTAATATATTTCTATAAATTTCTAAGTAAGTGAAATATTCAATATTAAATACTAAATATAAAAAGGTGATATACAAGAATACATAGGTCTGACTACATACAAGTATCTGCTGTTCTCTGCTACAATGACTGTTAACCATTTGCTATAAATTTGTTTTTGAAAAAGAAAAAGAAAGGAAAAGAAAGAAAACCTGAAGAAATTTAAAATTTTCTTTGAGGAAATCATTCCGTCACTCATCTTTTATTTTGTGCCAAATCAAAACCTTCAGCCTCTGGCACCAATGTTACCTAATTAACATGTCATTCAGATGCCTCCTCAGAACCCTGAGGCTTAGCATTTTCTCTCCTTCACAGGAGAGCCAGCTTCTCCCTCAGCAAAGCCCCGCATTATCACTACAGCACTGGAGATTCTTCACTTGAAACTGCAGTTGGCCAAAATGAATGAGAGTGCATGGACATGGCATGTATAGGTGTTATACTGAGCGAACCCTCAGGCTTTTCCTGACATGGCAAGGTATCTTTTTGCATGGTGAAATTAAATTTTACCAGAGAAAATGAACAACAACAACAACAGCAACAAAACTACTAAGATCCACAGTTGAAAACAGATTATCACTAAACTAGAGGGGGAAAGCCTTATTGTATAATATAAATTATATTACCCATCCACTTCTCCCACCCTATTCCCTTGCCACAGTTAGGTATCATCTGAGTTCTATAGCTTATTGCTCTGCCCTTTAAAAACAGGGTTAACTATTACTTTTAACATGAAACACAGGGTTAAATTTTCCCACAAACTAACTGAATAGAGGACTGAAAATTAATGCCTACTCCATTAGTCAAAACACACCAACACTTAACCAATATTCTAATTACTTTTTTTATAGCTACAATTTTGCTTCCATTGTTGGATATATCAAATACTACTCTTCTGAAACCTTGTTAACACCTTAATCACAGTAAAGTGACCAATCCAAACAGTTCTACTTATCTTTTGACACTTCATATTTAACATGTTGATTGCAGATAAACTGCAACATACATCAATTATAATTGCAGAGATGTTCAATTAGAAACTAGTGAGGTCATAATATTGTTCAGTTATTGAACTGAAATATATAAAAAATGACAATGGTACTACAAATAACAATTCAATATTGACTTCTAATACCAAGGTTGAATTATTTCAAACTGTTAAGAAAAGATAAAATAGTGACTGGCTACTTACTAAGATGAGACATTAATGTCACAGAAATTACTTTTCTTTTTAAAAACTATGCTGAAACTGTTTAATTGCAATAGACACTCCAGGATGTGTCATGCTGGGATAATGCCACTTCTTGAACCACTGAAAGCACTCCATGAGCCTCCAAACTCACCCAAGGCATGGAATCATTATCATAGCATGACACACACCTGCCGTGTCTTATTGCTTAATTATAACCCACCATAGATGGAACGGTATTGAATTTTCAGTGCAAGTCTAGAATTGAATAGAATTGTACTCATTCAATCTCTTACTCACATCAGCTTATTGGGCTATATTCCTCTAACTGTCCTGATCACTACTGAAATTAACAGAGTTAGATCCAAACTGTATATAAGTAACCTTTTATTGATAACACTATTAACACAGTGTTAAAATAGAACTGACAAATATGCACACAGCTAATTTAACCACAATTGATTTCTGTCTGTGATATCAAGTTAAATTTCTGACAAGAAATTTACCTGTAAATATAAAATGTGTTGCTCAAGTGCTCTAAAGAGCAATGCAGGCTGGAATGCCGAGAGGCTCTGGAGCTTGTTCCAATCGATTGTAATTTTCACCACATCATCTTTGAGGTTAAGCTTCAAAGGGGCAAACCAGCAACATCACAAAAATTACATGATTAAGCTGTATATCTGGGATTGTCACAAAAATAAGATTTCTATGGAGTAACACACGCCTATCAAAGTTATCAAGTTTTTAATGATACATTAAAATGCTCTGCCTAGTTACCATTTTAAAAGGCCAAGAAGATGCAGCACTTCATAAAAAATGAAGACATCTCAAATTTAATGGAGTCTTAGGTCTGTGTAATGGGACCATCTTAGAGGTGAAACCATCTCAGAAAAAAAAATGAAGGCACTTTGGCATCTAAACACCTTTGGATAAGGTCCAAAATATGCATGCCCTATTCAGAATCCTACCACTTTCAGTTCAGGCATTAAATAGAGAAGGTATGACTGTTTTATGAAAGTTCTAATATGTCCATTTCTCTTTGTTAAATATGTACACAAGTACCTACCTGAAATACATCATTATACATCATTATTCTGATAGCTTCTTAGTAACATTTTTATTGTTTTCAACTTTAACCATTTTAAAAAATAATTTAAACATCCAGGTTATTCATTCAACATTCAGGTTATTCATAAAATCTAGGGACAAGTGGCAAAATGTTTATCTACTGATAAAAATTTAAACTATTATTTAGTTATGGAAGTCTGAAACTGATAAAAAGAAAAAACTCCGTTCTAGTTAAATAATTTGGCAGAGAGCAGATGTAATGTCCAGTGTTTTTGCTAAATAGTATTTTCTAGTAAGCTATGAGGTCTAATTACACGTAGATTTCTTATCAGTTGGTGATCTATCGGAACAAAAACATATCCAGAAAACTAAGAACCTGAATATAAAGTTAATATTAAAATCAGTGAAAAGTTTAGAGTGAGAGCCTCCATCTGCAGTGAGTAAAAGTGAGCCTCCATAAAGATTTCTAGAGACGTGGTTAAGCACAGAATAAAGATAATATTCTATAATGAAATGAAGTTAATTATTTTATTTTTCAGAAATAATTTACTAAAAATTAGTCACATACTCTACAAAATAAAGACATGTTATATAAGTTCAAATACAGATCTTATAAGTTACAACTATATTAAAACAAAAATATGAATCACTGTATATGGAATCAGTGATCTCTGATTATAATAGGCAGCATACTGATTCAACACTATGTGACAGAAATTTACTGCCCTTTGAATATGAAACCAGAAACATTTAAAGTCCGTGTCAGATACATACAAAGAAATATGAAATTTTAGGTAGGCTGCATAAGTTTAGGTTAGTATGATTTTACATTAAGATGAATGCATTTAAGGCAACTGACATTACTTTAAGGCCTACAACATATACTATGTATAAAAGTAACTCATTATCATACTTTTACAGTACTCCAAGAAATCTAGTCAATTATGGCAAATTTATGAATATAATTTGGGGAAAAAGCAAGTAAATCCTCCAGCATTGAAAAGTATCATATTTTCAAGGGAAAACAGCCTATAAAAAATAAATTTTAATGTTTGAATATCTTCATTTCAATTCAGCAGAATTATGTAAGCCTTCAAGTGTAATTAAGGATCCTTGGTCTTTTAAAGATTAATTTTCAGTACAAAGTTATTAATACAAAATCCACACTAATAATAAATTAGCTATGTAAAGTAAGCCACCCAGAAGTAATTAAAAGGTTAAAATTAGTAAATTTTGCAATTTGGAGTAGAAAATACTTTTTAACATTCAATTGTATGACTCCTATTGAGTCAATAATACAATGTATCTTCCTGTTGAGATAATATTGAAGGGATAATAGAATGATACTTAGGGTGAACACAGGCAAATTATTGTACAAAATGCACTTTAAAAATCCTTTATACTTACTGCAAAAGAAAACACTGATTTTGTGGGGGCAATTTTGTAAGTATGCATTCTGGCTTTCATGTCACTGCCATCTCAAAAGATAAACTATTACCAAAATGGTTAGCATTTACTTGATGAAATAATATTATTTTTGACACTATTATAGATGACAACTTCATTGTGTCACTATAAACCCAGAGATATTTAAACATTTTTTGAGAGTTGACATATGCTTCTACATTTGTACTTTTCAAATACCAGAATGTTTAAGTTTTTTTAAGTGAGTTAAACTCAGCATGCAAAAAATTGTGACTTAAGTCACAATTTCTCAATGTTTGTTTTAAAAATTTCTGTAAATAACAAGTGAAAAAAAATATTTTTCATGAGGCCATTAGAATATGAGTAAACTTTAAAGTTCCAACTGTCCAGGCCATAAAAAAATACTTTAACTTTGAAATCATTGAAAGGTCTGGGTTTTTAATATTGAAACATTAATAGCAAACAAAAGTTCCCAAATCTCAAAAAATATTTTTTTTTTGTAAGTTGTTGCCAAACGACTGAGTTTGAAAGTTGTGTTAGGAGATTCTGTTAATAACTGTTTCATTACAAAAACAACAACAAAAACCCCAAAAATATTAAAACAGCTGTTAAAAAAAAAAAAGACTGATTCTCCATACACCTAAGGCTTTTAATAGTAACGGTCACCAATCAGACATATGTTCTATTTTCACAGGAATTTAGCATTATCTTTGACATAAATGCTTGCAGTGTCCACTATATGCACTAGTACCGGATGCAACACAAACTAGGTAACAGTCCATGTAAGACATACAAAAAGTATTTTTAAAAGCAGGCAAACATTTCTGTTTCTTATTTAAAAACTGCTTTATTACATCATGAAACGAAATAGTGATTTCATCTAATAGAACGTAATGAGACCAGTTTTAAAACCCCAATTTCACGACATTTCTGCAAAAGAGATTCATCAGCCAATTAAACTAGCTAATAAACAACAATTCTAATACAATCAGAATCAGCTCTGGATAACTCAGACAATTTTACACTCCAGATATTTAGTATTAATTCCCTTTACTTTCCTTCCCATTAAAAAGGGTAACAGGTACAACGGCCAGGAGGAAAACAGGAATAAACAAAACAAGTGATTCATACGAACAAATCACTCCAAAAAGGCCAAGAAGGCGCTTTTCTAAAAACCTCAGGCCATACTGACCAAACAGCTTCTATAATGTATACGCTTGAGGAAAAAAGACCCTGATCCCAAGGAGACTTCTAATCCCTCAGAGAAGCCTTTGAGCATTTATTCTCTACAAGAGTGCTCCTCTCGGGGCCGTTTTTCTTTTAGTTCCCCCACTCTCTCCTAGGGAGGAGAACTGCAACATAATCTAGTAGGAAGCCCGTAAGCCAGTACTACCATCCTGCTCACTCCGACCCGAGGCCACTAGGCCTGGGCTCCTCCCCCGACCTCAGCTAAACTGTAGCCTCCGAGCACTCTCCGGCGGGCCAAGGCGGTCCTCCTCCCCGCCCTCCTTTGGAGAGATAAAGGGAGGAGGGGTTGAGTGGGTCTCACACGCCCTAAACCGCACTCACCTGTCCAGCCAAGGTGTGCAGGGAGCGAAAGATTTCGCACAGCACCTCTCGGGAGAGGTTGGGGCTGCAGCTTCGCTCTAGGCTCCTGTCATTGTTGCTTGGGCGACGAAACTCCGTGGCAGTAGCCATGACACCTTCGCTGGCCGCCCCTAACACCACAGAGGTACAATCACAACCCCACCCCCACCACGATTTCGTCGCTTCGAGATGACGTAACAATCCCGCGTCTCCTTTTGATCAAGGCTTTAAGGTCCCACCCTCTCTATGTGACTGACAGGCACGAGCCCCAACCAGGTGCAGCGATCACGTGGCACGGAGGAAGCGGGAGTCTCCTCACTAGCGGAAGGCTGGGTGTTCTATTTGTACCGGTGATTTGTAGAGTATTGGTGTGGTAAGGGCTAGCAAGCATCGTGAAACCTATCTTGACTCTTAGATGTTACTTGTGAGTGTTCATAAGAGAAAACTTATATTTAAAGTATTAGGGTTTGAGCCCCAAATTAAAAGTTGAAATTTTAACATGGAGGCCTTGCTGGTCAAGAATGGAGCAGTGCTCAAACCTTCCTAAATACTGGAAAACTCACACAGAATTGTCATAATTGGATACAGCCTTTTCATCCCTACAAGGTTGTTTGACACACATAAATGCTAATTTTTCATGCCAGGACGGAGAGAGTGTAAGAAAAATAAAAGTGCTCAGTTATGCCTCATGAAGCAATGCCATCAATGACTTTAGACAGCCTGCAAAATAGTTTATGTCGCGTTTCAAAAGGTTAGAGACGCCGAACCCTAAAATCGGTTCGAAGTAAAACAACGTCTGTATGAATCCAACAGGAATCTAAACCGAGTAATTTCATGTTACCACAATCTTTGAAATTAAAAGGATATAAAACCAAAATCTGACAATGTATTATTTGTCAAATACCTTTCCTATAAACATATTTAAAGTACTTTGTAACCTTTTAGATTCTTAAACATTTAACTGAAAAAAACAGTTTTAGAACAATTTTAAGTGTTGATTGCTCTTTAGAAATACTGAAATTTAGAAGTCAGGGACGAGGGATTTAAAAAACTTCATTCTAATAGAAACATTTACAGTAGAGGAAGCAAAGGTGGAAACTTTCACAAAGTAAATTTAGTTTTAGAGCAGCCTCATTGAAACGCCAAGAATAAGGCGTCAAGGAATTGTGATAAGGGCAATAAGGATAAAAACTCCTTTGACCTGTCCGTAGGGAGCCTCTTAATTAGCTGTTCATTTCCAAAGGAATAGGGATCACCAGGCTTGACACGATCTCGAGAAATCTCGTCTGTTCCCTTGTTAGCAGCAAGTACATAGCTGCAAGTACAGCCTAGAGATAGAAAAATATTTCACAATATCCAGTCCCAAATTGAGCAACCATATATTCAAACTACTCATCCTTATAGTTAATGTAAATTAACAATCTTTGCAATTTTAGCATTTTTTTTTTGTCTCTGGTTCTCATTATTTTGGAGGATAATTTTAACGTGTTAGCTGAAAGTTTTGTTTCTGTACTAAATTAGCCACCAGCTTCAGATCATTTGGTTTTCATCAAGGTGTGAAGGACTTTATCAAATATGCAGGACATTTGTGTGCAACACATTTGGGAATGCTTTTTACAGTAAAATATACAATATTTACTATTTGTAAGTATAGTACATTACTCAGGTACTGCTTTTTCCTTTCTTTGCCACCATTGATTTTGAAATTGTGTGTTTCTTGAGCCCTTGTACCCCCTAAGACAGAATTAACTATATCAGTTCTCTATGTAATCTGTGATTCAATATCCAGACATGTATTTATCATAATATACTCAGGTAAAACTGAAAAAAAAATTAACTTTCATGTTAATTTTCATGTTATTTCATTTTTCTAATGACTGACTTTCCTTCCTTTTTGGTGATACTGGGCATTGAACTAAGGACCTTCACATGGAGCTATATACATCCTGAGCCCTTCTTGTTTTTTATTTTAAGACAGGGTCTTGCTAAGCTGCCAAGGCTGGGCTTGAACTTGCAATCCTCCAACCTCAGCCTCTTGAGTAAGCTGGGATTAAAGACTGCAGTACCACACCTGGTTTATTTCTTTTATAATAGAAAATTCTATTTTAAATATAAGAGCTTATTAGCTGCAAAGAGGTGGATTCCTGCAGGCTAACTCCAAATAGAAATTTATAGATATTAATTTGTAACAAAAATATAAAAGGCTGAAAATTAGAAAGGAAATAATTTGCCTTTTATAGAAAACTACTTACAGTTTATGAAGTGGGTTGCTGAAAAATGTGCTGCCTAGCAAAAATGATTGGTGTTGGTGTTGGCATTAGCAACAGAGTTAGAAAATGTTGTCCTGCAAGTTTATGCTAGGAATTAATTGGGAAGATAGAAACTATAAGTGAAGTCCAGTCAACCTAATTTATGAACAAAAATGTACTTTATTTTGAGTTTTAAAGGAGCAAAATAAACCAGGGTTGAGTCACCTGTCTTAAGTATTATGTATGATATAAATTACATATAACATTTTGATAATATGTGATGAATGTATGATAATACAAATATTTCCTAATGCAGAGATGGGGGGGGAATTTTTTTATCTCTAGCTTAGCATCACCTGTAGCATAAGTCCCAAGTTCCCTAAAGTGTCATTAAGGCTTTTCTCCTAATCTGGACTTTGACTAAATTTCGAAGCTCATTTTTGTTGACAGATCATCTGCTACTAAGATTGTTTTTATTTCTTCATGATTGTACTTTTTCCCCCTGCATGCTTTTATTTATGCCCTTTGCTTCTTAGCTGCTTGGGAAAACTCCTTTTTCATATTCACACTCCAATTAGGGAGTCTTATCTGGGAAGCCTTTCCTTGTATCCCTTCTCCTTAACAGGTTATTTTCCCCTCTGCTAAACTACTCTTACAACTTATATAGACTTCTGTTACTTTGTTGGTCACATTGGTGTTCAAATTTATTTCAATGTGCGTCTCCCTATGAATATTTATATGTATCATATTGGTGTACTTAAGGCTTAGTATAATTCCTGGTGTAGATTAATTGTTCAGTATAGTTGTTCCCCTTTGTCCCAGATAGATACATTTTAACACCCTAGTGGAAGCCTGAAACCTTAACATTTGATTTTAGGAAAAATATGTTCAATAGTGAAAAATGGCTAAGCAAACAATTCTTGAAGTTTGTTCTGCTAAGTACTAGTTCCATATGTACTATGGTTCATTTTTACTATAGATTTTAGCAACCTTAGCGCATGATTTTTCCCCTTTCCTTACTGAGAACTTTTGTCTTTTCACTTAAAGGAAATACTTTGCAGCTTTTCTTTGGCATATTCAAATAGGTAGTATCACTACTCATGCACTTTGGCACCTCTATTAATTAAAATAAGGGATATTTTAACACAAGTACTGTGATACCATGACAGCTCTGATAATTGAGACAGCTACCAAGTGACTAATGGGCATGCATCATAGATACCGTGGATGTGCTGGACAAAGGATGATTCATGTCCCAGACCAAGATGAAGTGGGATGGTATGGATTTACTGCACTACTCAAAACTGCAATGCTATTTAAAAGCTGTGAAGTGTTTATTTCTGGAATTTTCCATTTATAGTTTCAGATCATGGTTGACCAGAGGTAACTGAAACTGTGGAAAGCAAAACCATGGACAACAAAGGATTACTGTTATGCTTGTTGAGCTCAATTTATTTGCCCAAAGTGAACAGATTTTTAAATAAAAGAAAAGGAAACAAGTTTGTACTGTTGGGAAAAAAATTGTGACACACAGTAAGAATACTATACCTATTTCCCTTAAAATAATGAATCATGTCTATTACTGTCTTTGAGGTAACAAATTCAAAGTGCTCAATTTTTTAAGTTGTATAAATATTGCTAGTCTTTAATACCATTCTCATGAATGATACTGATAGAAATTAATTGTATCTACTAAATGCTTAGCACTCTGATTGACATTGGAGGTACAAAGATAACTAGATAAGGACACTTACTCAAAATGCTATCCAGTAAAGCTGGTGTTTGTATATTTTCCCTCAGTGACTTTTTTTTTCAGTACTGAAGATTAAACCCAGGGCCTTTGTACTAAGCTGCATCTCCAGCCTGCAGCCTGCCCCCTTTTCTTGAGACAAGGTCTTACTAAATTGCTAAATTCCCAAGACGAGGCTTAAACTTTTGATCCTCACCTCAGCCTCCCAGAGTGCTGGCAAAAGGGACCAATTTTTGTGGATGGATTTTTGTAGATTTTGGAAAGCTACCTACTGGCTATAGAGAAACCAATTGCCAGGTTATCACCACTTCACAGGGTCTTCTAGCCTCATGTCACTGTTGTCCTAGACATAAAAGTCCTCTATATGGCCATGCAACATGTTTTCTGCGTCCTGTTTCATACAGTGTGACACAATGACCATATTAAAAGTATGTGTGTATAAGGTAATATAACCAGTAAGTTCCTTTGGGGGAAAGGGTTGGGTTCAGTCTTAAATGGTATAAATACTTAAAGTAATATGAACTTATTTTAGAGTAATATGAATAAACTGCAAATGATAAATGAAAATTCTCAATTTAAAAAACATATGAACAGCAACTTTAACATGCTTGATGTATTTAGGGAAGATATGCTCAAAAGTAAAAAATGGCTAAGCAAGCATTTCTTGGTTTGTTCTGCTAAATACTAGTCCTATAGGATGCTCTTTGTTAAAATTTCCCATTGTTAAATAAGTTGGTATAATTATAATAATGATTTTCTGCCTCACCACAAAACCTATGGGGTCAATACATTACAGACAGGAACATCAAAACTGAGCCAAATAAAATTTTTATCTTTATAATTATCATAAATATTTGATTATAGTGAATGTGAAATTATCACAATATACAAATAATCCTGTGTTACAAATACCTATAGTATTCAGTAGCATGTTGTACAGGTTTGTAGCCTAGGAGCAATAGGCTATATTATATAGTATAAATGTGTCATATTGAGTAAATAGACTCTATAATATTTATTCAGTAATGAAATCACCTAACAATATATTTCTCAAAATGCAACTCTGTCATTAAGGAACAAATACCTGTATGTGAAATTCAGTTCTAAAAGAAGAATGGGGCAAGGAAGTATTTTAAGAAATGATGACAGGAATTTCCAAAAATAATGAAAGATATCAACCT